TATTTTCTCCCAAACCCATACATGGCAAACCAAATTTGCCAGGATAGGTAATCTTGTATACAGTTGGCTCATGCATTCAGATGCGGTAGCAGTGAGGGATGTATAAGAAACTTAATTCACAGAGACAGAGAGAAACTTTTGTGGAACTCCTGCACCGCACAAAGTCTATCTTATGGGCTGGGGGCTGGGTAGGACCCCACAAGAGTAATACCATCCAGACCATCTATTATGTATTTTGGCACATCTCTAGCACAGCACTTGGGCTTCATATAGAAAACAGTAGGACCTTCCTTAGTTTCTTGTGCAGAATTCCTGCTTACATTAATGATGACCATATAATAAACAATGTACACAGGTTGTGTTTCATAGCCTGTTAGATATATAGAGCCTTCCCTCTCCACCACGAACCCTTGAGAACAGGTTTAACAGTGCACTTAAAATGTATGAGCCTTGAAATTCCAGTGAAAGCTATGAATGAATCAGAGGTTGCTTATCACAAGTCAGGTAGAAAACATGAAAAGACTGCACATAGCATTTGTGGCTCAACCAAAGTGACTTTAATTGAGTCATACACATGTATGCCCTCCATTCCTTCTGTATGCACCTTCCATGCTTGCTCATGGAAAAACGTAGCTTTTTACTCAGGTTTTATCATTATATTCTATGTTCATAAACAACATGACAGCTTCAAAGATAAAGCAAATGTCTTACATTTCCAATTATATACAAATAATATGTCAACAGGCAAGCGTATGTATTAATCTGAGCTCTTAACAGCACAAGTGACATCCGTTTCAGAATATTCTGGTGGCCTTTGGTAACCAGGCAAACATTTCACTCGCAAAATTCTTTTTTAACAATTGGTAAACCTAGGACTTGGTTAGAATTTATCCATGACTTTTGATATTACCAGAAGGCCATGTTATATTACCAGTTTAGCCACTGCACAAAGAGATCAAACCCAAACATCTGGAGTTTGCTGGGTTGTTGAAACATGGCCGAACATTGTTTTCAAGGCCAGGGGTTATGAGGAAAATGCAGTCTTCACACACCAACATAATCTTTCTGTGTAATATTGGTCTTTGCTTCATGAACCACAGGCCTGATCAGAAGTCAGTGGGAACCCGGGAAGGTAGAATGCTGTGCCAGGGTGTAACTTGTATGAGACGTTTACATAGGCAGAATTATTTATATTGAAATTTGATCAGGACCCTTGAGCTGATAACTTATTTTGCAAAAAAACCACAATGTCTTTAACAATGTCTAGTAAGAAAAAGCTCATTTTTTGTCTCATTCCAAGATAAAAACCATCTTTCAGTCCCATTTCTTTTGCCCTTGAACTTTGCATAAAGCTAAGGTAGGAATCTGCTACTGACTTGGAAGGAAAGGTGTCATTGACTCACCAACCCTAGTATTTGCAACAACTTTGATTATAAGCACTAGAAGTTTTCCGCTGAAATACTGACCTGGATCAATCCTGCTCAGCTTGTGAGTCTTGAGGAAAAGCCAGTTGAGAGATGCTGTGGTTACAGATATTTATAAGGCCTGATGCACCAAAAATCACTTTCATTCCAATCCATTGATATGCCCCCAGCCTTTACAAAGTCACAGACCAGATCCAGGGAATGCATTGTGCATTCGAACAAGTTGCAGTAAGAAACAAAGGCAGTTTTTGCTTCAGATTCTTCAGAGATAGCAATATGTCAGTAGCCCCTAGAGATGCTGAAAGTAAATGAATCAGTGCTAGAAAGTGAAGGATATCATCCGCACTGAATGGTGAAAAGGAGTCCTGAACAGTATCTTCATTGATTTTTCTGTAATTGACACAGAATCTTGGTTTGCCTCAAGGCTTCTAAATGAAAGAAGTGGGGAGGCCCAGGTCCAAGGAGCTTCCTTTGCTAGAATCTGTGAAAATTTCTCCTCCATTAGTTGCCTCACTTTACGTGAAGCTTTGAACAAAAGACTGTGTTAATACATTCAGAATTTTCATTTCTTGCTGAGTATTTTACAAGATGTGTTTAAAAAATGGCATCCCAAATGATGTAACATGGCTGAATGAAATCCATCACCCTTTGCAATGGGACTGAAATCTGTGGTATCCAGGAAGGGTGTGAATCATTTGCTGCTGATGTCTGGATCTGATTTTATTTGAATATGCCTGGTAAATGCATGATAGGAACATACTATAGGAATGTAATAGGAATCACTGTCTCGCCTCTATGGGATATTCTTCAAGGACGGGTCTGCCCTGCCATCCATATGAAATCAGTTTCATTGCCTCTTTGCAAATGACTAGGTTTGCATTGTGTTCCTAGCTCTTTTTAGACAGATCTCTGAGCCAGCTTGGATACAGTATTCAGAATAAATAAATTCATAGGGAAATGAAGCTCTGAAAGAAGATCATACTGTTCCTTTTTGAAAGCAGTATGAAAAAGCAAGTATGTAGCAATGGTGACAGATTGCACTGCATTGTTTTAAGGTGGAGGCACTGTAGCCATCCCAAATTTGGGGTGCCCAAAGTCTGGAGTCTTGCGTGTGTGTCAGACTCTCAGTTTTTTATTTTAATAAAAGTAAATTTTAGCCTTCATGACTGTGAGCAGAGCTTGGCTATATAACTGGAGTGTAACTGGTGGCCAGAGTCTGGTGGGAGCTTGGTGCAATAGCTCCACATTGTAATTGGTCTAAGGCACTAAAGATCCTTAATCGGCATGTTCAACTGGGGAGTGGTGCCTCTTAGGTATTGATCAATGTTTGGGTGAAAAGGACTTGCATAAGCTTGAACAAAGTGAAAGCTCTCATGTATATTCCCACAACTTGGAAGGAAGGAGTACTTCCATGATAGGATGCTGAAGACAGTAACACAGGGCAGCTTTTCTAAGGCAAAATATACTGGTGATTTTTTTAAGTCAGTGAAAAAGAGAAGGAAAGAAGAGAAGAAAGAATTCCCTTCTGGAAGTAACACCAGCTTCCAAATCCAGCCATTATAAATGACCCCCAAGGAAATTCTGTATGTTTTGCTGTTTTAGAGCACTGCCTATAACCAAGGCAGGCTGGCTTTTACCAGAGGAGGCTCCTGTTCTGTTCCTCAGAAGGTTCAGCCATGGCTGAAGTTTGACATTTTTGAAATTATAGTGTGAAGTTGTAAAAGGAGGTAGTTGGGCAACTCATGCCAAATTGTGAAGCAGGCCTTTTGCACTGACAAATGACATATTCACTAATTGTAACTTTAATTTACACAGATCTGTAGAAACATTCTTTGTTTTTAGTTCAGGAGTTGCTTAGAGTTTTGTAAATTATGGGACAGATTTACATTCACATTAGGATTGCAAAGGAGCTTTATAATGACTGTAGACATTATTCACTCTTACTTCAAAAACTTTTTATGCTGCTTAAATCGTATGATGGAGTCTGAGTGTGACAAATTGCTCCAATGTGTTCTACGTTCTATGATGTGAAGATTAACTATTTGAAGAGTTCAGCTTTAGCAGATACAGTACTAAAATACTCTAGCTAGTTCATAAACAACTTTATCAGTGTCTATCTTTGCATATCAAAATAAGTGTATTGCTTTCATTTTTAGCCAATCTTGTGCATTTAGATTCCTAGTGCAATCCATATATTTGCCTGCTTCAGGGCAGAAACATGCTCAGTAGCATTTTTAAAACTTGGCAATACGCACTGCCCTGCTAGGTACATAATAAGATTACAGCAAGGCCATGGCTGACTTGAATTCCATTCAACAATATAAACCTCTCACAATGAAGCATACGCCATGTGATGATATTACATATGATCCTAGATTCAAGATTTCTGTATCGTTCATGGTAATGGTCTGCAGAGAAAAATACAGCTGGCAGCAAGGAATATTTTAACACGCTGGGGGTCTAATAAGGGTCTAATTAGAGAGGGTCAGGTCTACACTGGAAAAAATGCATCGTGCAGAGTGCAGAAAATGTATAAACCAAAGGGTTTCAATTAATGTGGTATTAAATATTTTGCTTTCAGTGGCCATTTCACCATTATGTGTTTTAATATGACAGACAACATACATTAACCCTTAAAATTCAGTGCAGACAAAACCAGTAGTCTTAGGAGGTAGGGTAGGCCTTCACTAGGAAAAAATCACTATGGTAACTAGCTCAAGGCAGTTTTTAATTTTCATGTTATCAAGTTGAGATAAAGACTATGAGGGGTTTACTTTGACCTGCTGACTCCTGTTAATACTACAGCTGCTTTCTCTTTACTATGAATTTCCTGTTCCATGTCTGGCAAACACAAGTTAAGAAAATACCCTTTTCCCTAGTGAAGATAAGGCCCTAGCATTTATCTCAGCCAGGTAAGATGTGTTAAAAATAAAACTTTCCCTGCTACAGCAGTTATTTTATATGTGTTGCCTATTTTTACGTGGTAAAACAGACCTTAATTCCTAGAAAAGCCAAGGCTAGTTTGGACAATGAAATTCATGTTTAAAAATATGCTACAGTACGTTCTTGGTTATCAAAACCTCAGTTTGCCCAACAGCAATTTTGTTTTTACAAACTGTTGGCAATGTGTAATGAACAGGGTGCATCTACATGTTCATTAATGTGCTGTAGTTAGTGAGCGTTAAGTTTAGTACTTGTATAACCAAGTACCAAATCAATGCACAGTAACTGGCACCACTACACAGTAGCACTGGTGCATGGCCTGTTAGTGACGCTAACTGTGCAGTAGCCTAATACTATCGTGCAGTAGCATATAAGCACGGTTTTTGCTGTGACATGCTACTGTGCAGTAGTATTAGGCTACTGCACAATTAGTGTCTTGTGTAGATGTGGCCACTGCTTACTTTCTAAGTTTTATTGAATATAGTACTGCATCTCTAATCTTAAGTTTGATCCAGCAATTTGTAACAGCTGACACCATTAACAAGCTGTGTTTAACTACTGTTAAGTGTGGTATCATTTTACGTTATGCATCATGTATTAGCATGCTTAAGTCCTTACAAGTTGCTGCTGTTTCACTTATCCAAACACATTCCCTTATCCAAATGGCTTTTCAGCAGGTGCTTTCCAAAAGGGTTTGGAGAACTGAGGAGGTACCGCAATTCAACATTTTTTAAAAAGAGCAGGAACTGTGTTTTTATTTAGCATAATGATTATGTGATAATGCTGAATAAATAGATAGTGCCTAATTCACAAAGCAATCTGATGCAAGGCTTTGTTATATAGTTTAGGACAATGGCATGAGGGCCTTACAGATTTGTTCAGACATCCTGATTTTGATTCTGCTATCTATGGGAAGCCAGTTAAATGGGTGAAACATGAAGATGATAGGGTTTTGAAGATCAAACTTGCCTTCCAACTACCGTTCTCTTTATTTTGCCTTTTATTATATTGTCTCTGAAAGCATCTTAGCATCAAGCCTGTAAAGGCTGTATTCTCTTTCTAAGTTTGGCACATCAAATTTCATCCATTTTCCACTGTGCCCATGGAGGAGTTTGAATGGACCAGAAAAGGAGTGTCTGCATTCTCCTTTTGCTTTGGAATTATACTCCATGGATGTCTAATTTGCAATGGAGAATCAGGACTCTGGGATTAAGGGCTAGGCCAGTAAAGGAGCTGGAGACAGAAACAATGGATCTATGATGGATTAACCACATGGTCTTTTTTGAAAGAAGAGAAAAGATGATATACCTGCCACTGAGGGTGTGTATAGAAGTTGTTTCTTTTGGGGTTTTTTTGCCATTTAAAGCACTTCATTGCCATGACTTAACAGAAGTGTATGGCTTTACAGTACTTTAAAAATGGGTATGGCATTTTAAATTAACCCTTAGTAAATGAAGTATTAATTTGAAGCGCTGTATTTTACAACACTTCAGCAACCTACAGTAGTTTAAATAATTTCTGTATGCTGGTCAAATTTCTGACCAATGGAGAAGCTCCAGGAGGCTGCAGACTGCTCCCTGTTGCCTAGCCTAGAAAGTTCAGGGAGGTTCAGCGCCCTCCACCCCCCAC